AGCCATTTTATTAAATTACAAGATAACGCATGCTATATAACATCATGCAAAATTGTCGCTTTTCTCCCCAACAACAAGAGGTCATTCGACTGACCCAGGACAAAAAAAAACCAGTGTGGCAGAAAATAATTTCACTAAACTTAAACCCACACAAATGGCATAACGGAGTTCGGGTAATCGGGGCATAAATAAATGTTAATTTATTGACCAACACGAATTACAGATTTCTTTGGACGCTTTCGCAAGAGGTAATAATTAAAGTGGATGCGGTTTTAAAAGGACAAGACACGGGTCACAACGGCAACAATGACCACTTACGATTACGATGATCGCGGAAAATACATCGCGACCGCTATTTTACCAAATGCTTCCTCCAAGCGCCCGCAAATAATTCTTACCCACGCCAAACGTACGAACCAGATAAAGATAATATGGACGGCGTCAGATAAAAATTGTAAATAATGTAAGCGAATTGCTTTCGAGTTGGATAACACAAGATACATGTGTAGATATCCACTTTAAACCTACAGAGTGGTTATTTTTCGAGAAAACTAAACTCGTAATGACTTTTGAGATAATTATGAGAATTGCATCTAAAGGGTAGTCTGACAGTGCGTTCACCAACAATGGTTCCGTTATTATTAAGGTTACCAACTCAAAATTTTAGAAAGTCCTACAATCATCAAGTCTAAAGACATTAAATTAACTATACAAATGTAGGTAGGTACTAAAAAGTTATTAGTTTTGAACATCATCATCAAAAGGTCGTCAGTCCTAAGACTGGTTGGACAAGCACCTCCACTCTTTACTATCCTGAGCTAAACTTCGCATTTCCCTAAAACTAGAACAACCCACATCCTTAACTATTTGCGAACAATAATCTAACCTCGGTCTACCTCTACCCCTCCTAACTCCTGTTTCTGCCTCTAATGTCTCTGACTAGACCTTCATGCCTGAGAAGATGTCCTACCAACCTATCTCGCCTATTTCTTATTGACTTCTATAGAGTCCTCTGTTCTCCTATTCTTTCTAATACCTCTTCATTTAAACCTTCTCTATCCACAGTATCCTCATCATTCGCCTGTAACACCATATTTCGAACGCTTCTAACTTTTTCTTTTCTGCCGCGCCCACCGTCCATGTTTCGCACCCGTACAGCGCCGCGCTCCAAACATACACATTTAACAATCTTTTTCGAATTTCTAGATTAACCGTTCGCGAGCATAGAAGTGCCGTCTTTTTATTAAAAGCGACACGACCTTGCGCTATCCTCTGCTTTATATCCCTACTACTCCTTCCGTCCTGACTTATCTGACTTCCTAGATACCTAAAATCAGCTACTTCTTCTAATTTTTCGTCTCCTATCTTTATATTCGCTCTTTCCCCACTTTTACTTCCCTTACAGTTAATTTAATAAAAGGCGAGTCAAAACGCTAGGTTACAGCTCTGTCGACAAAAATACCAAATAAAGCGCCTACTATATTATGGTTTATTTGGACACGTACCTCTATTAATATTCTTTCATTTTTGTTACATATTTTCGTACTCAACTTATTGAGATATTGGGCGTTTCAAAAGGAACAATGACAATTGTTACAAATGAAATGAAACCGAAATATCATGACCAGTTTAAATAAGAAATTTGTAAATTCAGATCAACAATTTAAAAGAAAAAAATTGTAAAGTCCGCCAGGTCGTACCTTTAGCAATACACAGAAGGCAATTTTGGAAATACAGAAGTTATAAATATGTACACAATATTTAAAAAAAGTGTAAGAGATTCGAATTCCACGCGGAAGGCGAAGTCAGCTATTATTATTAACCATATTCGTTAGAAGAAAATTATCTCTACAAAGCATCATGATCTTGAATCCTGCTCCATCTTATTATTAAGTCCCCGAAATACGAAAGGCCTAATTGACCCAAATTTTCATTCTCGACAATGTGCATTGTCAACTGAAACGTTTCTATGTAATTTCTAAGGTAAGCAAATTATGATTAACTTTTTAACTGAAAAACTGAAGAGTTTTAAAACAGAAAACCTTATTAGAAATTATAACAGCCCTTGAAAATCGTATACCATGATTTACTAGAAGAAGCCCTAACTACCTTGTACCAAAATATTTTACAAAAATTAAGAAAACAAAACAAATTTAATCCTCGAAATTGAAAAAATTTTGAGTGATGGACAAATTTTCATTTAGGTACATTTTTATCATCATCATCAACATAAGGTCGTCAGTCCTAAGAGTGGATGGACATGCATCTCCATTCTTTTCATTGCATTTCCCTAAAACTAGAACAGCCCACATCTTTAACTATTTGGGAACAATAATCTAATCTAGGTCTACCTCTACTTCTTTTAACTCCTGTTTCTGCCTCTAATATATCTAGACTTTCATGACTGAGAAGGTGTTCTACTAACGCCTATTTCATATTCACTTCCATAGAGTCCTCTGTTCTCCTATTCTTTCTAATACCTCTTCATTTCTAACCTCCTCTATCCACCTCATTAGCCTCATCATTCACAGGTAACACCACATTTCGCACCAGTACAGCGCCGCGCTCCAAACATACAACTTTAACAACCTTTTTCGAATTTCTAAATTAACCGTTCGCGAGCATAGAAAATACTTCTTATTATTGAAGGCGACTCGACCCTGCGCTATCCTCTGCTTTATATCCCTACTACTCCTTCCGTCCTCACTTACCTGACTTCCTAGATATCTAAAATCAGCCACTTCTTCTAATTTTTCGTCTCCTATCTTTATATTCGCTCTTTACCTACTTTTTCTTCCCTTGCATACCAGTATGTTTGGTTTACTTTTATATATTGTAATGCAAATAAGTTTTATGTGGCCGTCAATGATCTTTGACGTGTATTTAGGACATCAACGCGAGCGAAGCAGCGGTAAAACTTAGTTTCCAATAAAACTATCACCATTTCAAAAACCAAATGGTTTGTTATTCACTTTAAAATTATATTTTATTACTTGCTCAATAAATTGATATCTCCAATCTCCGAAACTTTAATAGAAACAGGTCGTCTGCCTCCTGCACAGCAAGGATAAAACTCTAACACAAAGTTATAATGTATTAAGAAAAGAATGTCAAACTGCGTTTCACATAATACTTATCTCGAATGGTAAAAAAGTTACCTACCCAACAACCATGACACTTAATGTAATATAATAATTTTTCATAGTTAATTTTACATTTCGTTACATCAATTCATCAACCAAATTGCCTGAAAGTAACTCACAAAAAATTACTTCCCTGACTTTTATTTTCAAACTGATTTCAGCATCTCAAAAATTAATTACATAGCACACAATAATACGCCATCAACATTCACTGTCTCTTTACAGTCCAGCGCTTCCGAAAACTGCGTTAGTTAAAGAAAGTCATGAAGAGGGCTTCCACAACTGTCATCATCTACTAGCTCAAACGGTTAATAATTTATCATTAATTCACAATTTCGAAAGGCGTTTGAATAATTTATCAAAATTTCTTTTACTCAAAGCGTAAAAAGACGCTGTCTTTTTTTTCTCAAATGCCTAAAGTACGTATACATACGCCCCAACTTAAAAAAAAACAATAATAGAAATAATTATATACCTACCAACATCAGTCATTATATAGTAGAATAAACATAGCGTGCAGGCTAACTCGACTAAATTAGATTTTAATTTTCAACTTGGGGCTTAGCAGTGACCATTTATATTGTACAAAAAATTATCATTTTATTACATTATTAATGAATTCTAATACTTCCTTCTACTGCATGTTATCTATATACACCGCTTATATACCCATGTATAATACCCAACGTTAGAGGTCAGTTCATTCAAAAGGAAACACTTATTTTATTACAATTTTTGTTATTTTTACACACACTGACGCTTTAACTGGGGATGTAAGGTAGTTAAAGACCCATCATATCCCATTCAGGTAAGGCAAAACACATCGTAGAAATTACGTATTTCTTTGTAGGTATTTTTAGAGTTCCGTACCTCAAGAGGAGGAAAAAGGGACATCTTGATCTTAAGGATGTTTGGGAGGTATGTCAAAATGCTACGAGACAAATAAAAATTTGGAAGAACGTTCCTCATTCAATTCTAAAACTTCTGTAAAAATTACAAATCGATTCACTAAACCGTTAAAAAGTTATTGAAATTTTAAAAAATTGTAATTTTACACGTCATTTTATGGAGATTCGTTAACCGAACAGATTAAATTTATTTTTATTAACAGAAAAAAAGCTACCAGAAATTTCAAACTTTTATAATAAGTAACTTGAACTCTGGAGAATCACTTTAGCGTAAGGTTATTCAAATTCACTAAATGGTTATCGAGGAAAAAATGAAAAATTAGCTGAAAATCTCGTTTTTACTTGATAATATAATGATAATATTTATAATTGTCTGAAATAAATGCAATTTTAAAGTTTTAATTATTATTTAAACATATTAAAAAGTTTTACGCTCATTATTAATAGAGATTGAAACTAAATATTTTTTTGTTTCGAAGTTGAAATCAAGGCATATTCACTGTCAAAAGTCAGTTAAAAATTTTCCATATTAATCGTTGTTTCTTATTTTATACAAAGTTTTTGGTCAAATTCCAAATTTTCTCTCAAACCGTATACTTTTTTTTTAGTATAGATAGTATTTATTTACCTCATGATATGCTACAAAACCTAATTAATCACGAATTTCTAATTCTATGTACTCTTGCCTCCGATTGTACCTCCCAAACATCCTTAATCTTGCTCAATACTATTGGAGTTATGTTCCTTTATTATTTATATGAAAACATTGCTGAAAGTATTTGAACAAATTTTCCTATACCTCATTCTCTGCGTTTTAAAAAATAAAACTATCACAACATCACAGCTCTAGAAATTTTAAAATGTTGCATTATTTCCTTCGCAGTTTATGAACTGGAAGGAAAATTGGTTTTCCGTTTCACTAATATAAATAAAGAACAATAACACTTACCTTTTAGTTGAGTGCTCTCGATGGCAAACATGTTCAGCGCTAAAAGTTGATAGAGTCGATTGCTTTTGATAGGTAGCGGTGAACACTGAAGGAGGGCTCTAAATTCTTTCAACATTTGCATTGCAGCTTCTTGAAACGTTTCCATTCTGAAAAAAAGAATCAGATATCAAAAATACGTCCAAATCAACAAAATTACGTTTAACTTAACAATGCCTAACGATGAACTGATGCTATTCTGATTCAGGTTCAAAAGGCCATTGTGTTTCGCTAGGACGAATGGAGTCCACATCTAGCATCCAAGATGGAAGGACCTCTGAAGAAGATCGCCACTCATGCTAGCGAAACGTTAGGAAGCAACTCCAACACACGAGGCTTTTACACCCCAACCAGAACAGCATCAGTTCACCTACTAGCCACGAAAGCCTTTAGCAGTTTGTCAATACCTAACGATACTTAACAATACAAAAAATTGTAGAAAAGCCTTAAATGAATTGGATTTCACGGAAGTCCAGACAGTATTTTATATAGCTATGATATTGTTTCCAACTACGATAAAAAAAGCAATTCTCATGCCTGTTTATATCGTTATTTAAGTATGACTGACTCAGCAAATGCTTAAACATTAAACCTAGTTAAAAAAATCCTAGCTTTTTCTGGCTACTTTTCTTAACTTTCCCAGTTATGTCATTTTAATCCAACATGCTTATGGGAAACAAAATCAGTCCCATTTTCCCGATTTTCTGGATTTGTTTGTCCATACTTTGGGTATATAAACTTTATAGTACCTACCTATATGTTATTAGAAGTAGTACATAATTAATTGTTAGCGATGTGATTAAGGATAAAATAATTATTGACTATCACGTTAAGTATTACTTAATGTTGTTTTTATTAAGAATAAGTCGATCAAAATTTACAAAATTTCACGTAAACCGCACAACTTAAAGAGCTTTCCGTATGATTAAAAAATTTCCCGGCTTTTTCCCCGGTTATTCTCGGCTAATTTTTCTTCCCGGTTTTTCCGGTTTTCACGATTTCCTGGTCGCTCAGTAACCTGTTTAATACCAATTTTTTGCACCGTACATTGCCTACCTACATCTTAAGTGTTGTTAGTTATTCAAAATTTGGTAGCATTGCATAATTTAGTAATTTCTAGGGATATTGTGAAGAAATTCCCAAATTTGTAACATCAATTATATCAGCTGTTAGGGCTATTTACCGCCACTTACGCGTTTACGTTAAGCCTACCCTACAAGACAATATTTTTATTCATGCTACCAAAATATGGGGTGTATGTTACTATAAAATACAATGAAAAAGTAACAAAAAAAATTGTATGTTTAAACGGTTTCTATACGTTTATGCTTGGGTGTAGCATATCTGGAACTTCACGTATTACAAACACAAATAACTGCTAGATATTTACTTTTTAACTTTTTTAACAATTACTTGTTTTGTTCTCATTAAAACAAAAATATAATTGACCATTTTTACAAGATACATGGGAAAATCCAGCAAATATCATTAGGGGATGTAGACACATCGTTGGTTTTTTTTTTATTTCAATAATGTTTGCGAGTTGAGAGAGAAGACCAAATGGGGAAAGCAAATAAGCAACAGTTGAAATAAATATATGCAACAAAAGTTACTTATATGCAAGGCCTATTTAAGTATTAGAGTTATATCAGAAAATTCGTTAGATATTATTTCAAACCACAGAAACGCAAACATCGTAAGGTAAAAGGCCCAGTTTCTGACTCTTAGAGTGACAGCTGAGATTATATTACGATAACTAAAATAATATTTAATTAGAATAAATAATTTTTATACTATAAACAAGTTCAGAGTTTCTAGAAAAACTCATATACGCGATATAATTATTTGAAGCGAATTAGTAATTTTAATTAATGATTTAAAAAGTGATGTTTGAAGACCCAGTTTCTGACACTTAAAATTTCTTGTGTTGTAGTTTCTGACACTGCCATCGGCCTAGTTTCTGACACTCATATTTGGTAATGATTCTCTCTCGGTTAAATTATGTATTATCAAGTTTAAATAAACTATAAGTAATTAAGTATTCATTAAAGATAAATTAAATATTTATTATAAGTAAGATATTGTTATTTTTAACAAAAATAATTAACTCCTGAAAATAACAAACAAAAATATGTATTTGTATCATCAATAAAATTTATAATTCAATTGAAAGTAAAAATTATCATAGTAATAATCATTTTAACACTAACAAAGATGAAATTTCTTTTACAACAATCATTTTCGTATTTGAAAGAATTATTTATAACAGTGAATATAATGTTTAGTTTATTCACAAAAATATTAAATGAATATTTATCGCTGTAATTACAGAAAATAGTATATCAAATCATAATAATCATAATAAATACAAATTTTGAAACATTTTATGGATGTCAACAAACAAATAACCTCCTGAGTAAGAGGTAAGAATGTGAGTGTCAATAACTGCGACATACCTATAAAATTGAGCCTAGTTATTGACACTTATATTTTATTAATAAAGCTTTATTTAATATGATATATTGATTTTTTAGACTAAATAATAGTTCATTATTAAACAATTTATATATATTTTATTATATTTTTATACTTATATAATGATTATTTCACTGATTGAATCGTCGAACGCGCTTCCGTAATTTGCTTAGACCATAACTAAAAAATGGCTTCCGCAGTCACTCCACACTTAAAGATTTTTTTTATTAAGTTTTCTTATTTTTTATTATTGTGCTTGTCATTAATTAAGTACAGAATAAATTTATTTTAATTTTTAAAAAATTTATTAACCCACTTAAGATCTTTTTTTTTAATTCAACATAAACCTAAAATTGTCAGAAACTGGGCCAGTGTCAGTAACTGGGTCTTTTACCTTATTCGTTATTATTATTTTTCACAATTAGACGATATGATACCAATTAAATATTAGTTATGGCTAGTTACCAAGTCACGTGGTAAACGAATGTTTACAGTTTTATCTCTCATCAATAACGCGGCAATATTGTCCGCTCTTTTTCTAATCTTAATTCATAGATTGTACCTACGATATGATTAGGTTATTTCAGTTTTCCCACAATACTTCAAGTATACGATACGGTATGGCCCATTCGCTATCCCACTTAGGAAGAAACTGGTGCCCATTTAAATCCAAACTAGGTGCATAGCACCTCTCTCTCTCTCTCTCTTGTAAGACCTGCCATAAAGATAATGATGGCCGGCAGTAATGGACAGCTTGAACACGACGATATTAATTCAACAAAACGGCACCGGGATGATTTATTGTACCGGACAGACTGTCCGTTAATCAGTTCAACACGCTCCTCTGTTTAACTGTTGACGAATATGTTATAGAAGGCGTTTTCCAAATACAGCTGATATAATACAAAAACAGGTGAACATGATTTACTACGTCATTACAGGAAAAACAGTAATGCCAATTTTTATACCTACTACTAATTAGCAGCATTGCCGACAAAACAGCAGACTTGGCGCTAAATTTGCCATTTGTGGTTGCCGTTGCTTTTCCAACTGTTTCATTCATTTATAGCTTCAAACTACAAATATCTTAATAAACACCAATCAAAAAAATGTTGTTCTAATAACTAATGCGCTGTAAATAGAACCGTTCGTGAATAACCGTATGCATCAATTCATAAACCATAGGAACTCATAATCATCATAAAGTCGTCAGTCCTTAGACTGGTTCGACACGCACCTCCACTCTTTTCTATCCTACGCTAATCTTTTCATTTCCCTAAAGCTAGAAACTTAAAACTTTTGAGTGTTTCATTCCCACCAGCCAGTAATGCTACGCCGGAAGGTAGAGCGGAAGGCCCTCTTCAGCCTGCTTTCAGGAATCGTCGGAATGGGTGGGTGGTGGTTCGGGTGAGAAACTTAAGACGGACGAAATGAATACAGAAGAGAATGAAAGATTATCTATGGAATATTACTGCCTCAGCATTTGCCTAAGTGATCCAAGGAAACCACAGAAAAACTTGGACCAAGGCAGACGGACCCGGAATCGAACCGGCGTCCTTCCGAATGCTAAGCAATGGTCTAAACCTCTAGGCCATGCCGCTCGGTCTAAAGCTAGAGCAACTCATACCCTTAACTATTTGCGAACAGTAATCTAATCTAGGTCTACCTCTATCCCTCCTAAATCCTGCTTCTGCCTCTAATATGTCTCTGACTAGACCTTCATGCCTGAGAAGGTGTCCTACTAACCTATCTCGCCTATTTCCTATTGACTTCCATAGAGTCTTCTGTTCTCTTACTCTTCCCAATACCTCTTCCATACCATTCAATACCATAAGAACTACAGTGTATTACCAAAAATGTGATTTATTTGAAATACTTGCATTCAAAATGCAAATACAAAATAAATACCCATTTTAATCTTACATTTAAATACTTTTTGAGAAAATCATTTTGTTTTATTTAAAATACTTTTCCAAACGTATTTACTATTTGTAAAATGCAAAACACATTTTTGTAGTTAAAAGTTTTGCCAGTACCACCGATCAAACATTATACAAAATGATGAATAAAAGTTGCTCAAATTGACCACTGAAGGTATTATAAACTAAAAAAGGGGACAAAGATACGTTCCATAAATGCCTTCTAATTATCTTTAACTGAAGAGAGTCCAAAAAATTCTAAAGTCCTTGGAAATGGATAATCTAAAATATTGGATCGATATTGTTTTCCGGGTTCAATATCATGGTCCATGGGATTTTGAAGTTCCCAATTGATATCAGCATCTGCCAAATCACCACTTATCGTACCTTTAGCAAGGAAATACGAAATTCTATGAATTACTACAAAACAGCCAGCAAAACAATATCGAATTGATATACGCCAGCCGTGTAAAACTGAATACTACAAAATACTGTGCTGTGCTAATAAATTCATATAATCCAAAATTCATAGAAAACGATTGGAAAAACTTCACTTATTAAACCCAAAGCTAAAGAAACTATGGATTCAATTTCTTTCTCTTTTTACAATGTGTAAAAGATCGGAAACAAAATGGGGTTGTAAATATTTTGATATAAAATGATTGATGTTAATTTTACATCAATAAAATTATTTGCCAACCTATTTTGGTTCTGAT